CTCCCTTGTGGCTTGCAACTTTTGTTTACAGTGACTGCTGAATGACGTGCTCTTTTCCCTGGCTTCCCTTGCAGCTGGAAATGACCAAGTAATAGAGTCCTGATGATACAGTTCTGACTGTGAGTCTAGTAACGGTGGTTTGGGGACAGATACATCTGGTGTGCTCTTTTTCCCTTTGGTCCAATCTTGACTCGGATTTATTGTCTGGACCTACAGCAACCCTTTTGTGACCATGAAGTGACAAGATGAAGACAATGTTCAATGTCCCAAGGATGGTGGAATGGAAAGCTGGAAAGAACCTTAGTGAATGATAACATTGTTGATAAATACAATCAAAGGAACACACTCCTGCTTGTACAGACAAACTTTTATTTGTTTAAGGCATGGTAGGTTTGCATTTTTTTTCTTCTTGTGGATGAGCACATTCTGAATTGATACATTTCTCTAACAGTTGGAATGTTGGTATTAGACAGTCAAATGAGAATGGGAGAGTCTCCTGATGAAACTGTTCCAGAAAGCTGCTGCATTGAGTTACATGACCTTTTGACTAGTAATTGGTTAGTGACATGTTAAAAAAGAGTGATTAGAATTCTTAGAAAAAGTAACAAAGATTCAACCATTTTCATTGTGATTTTTAGATTAAAATGCTGGTGTTTGTTTATAATGAAACATTGAATCAAAATTCTGCTATATAAATTTGACAGCTTATGACTTGGCTAGTTTTAGGATAAACTTCAAGAAGATCTGTTGACTTATGTTGCTTTAAAGAACAGAACTGTGCTTTGTTTCTGCTTTATTGATACAGATTTAAATCTCCAGCTTTTGCAATTCTTAACCATCTGAATACTATATAATGCTACATAGCATTTTACATTACATGGGCTATACATAGGGGATGATAGACATTATCAAAATAATAAGTTTATAAATAATTTGCTCAATGACCAAACTGTAAAAAATCCTATTGTAAATAGGCAGGGAATGGAGCAATAGATATTTAATTTTTATGTGAGAAATGTAGGTTGGTACACAGCTTCCAGAGAGTGTTCTTGTTTTTCCTTATATTCCTCTTTTTATATTGTGCAGTGACAAGACCTTACGTAAGAGGGCAGTAGGACATTAGAAATGTTTCCTCTCAGAGGGACACATTCCAACGAGTTGGCCAGTGAAGTATAATAAACACACTTATGTAACAGCTATTTCGGATTGTTAGAGTTCTCACATATATAATTTTCCTTGACTACCCATCCCCTTTCTTAATGGAAAGAAGAAAGCTTCTAATTGCTAGTTCACATACATTTCTGAGTCATACCCAGTGTTACGTTTTAATTCTTGTTTCTGCGCCTAGCTGTCTGAAAACTAGTTTGCTTAGTTTTGTGAATCTATGACTTAACATAGTAAACCAAGATTTAGAATATTTTAGCATCTTAAAAATATACCTATTTTGTTGCCCACTGTAAATGCCATTAAAAGGGCATATTTCCAGAGATTATTTGTTTATTGTTTTTATCGCAAGGAATATTGAATTGGATTATTCTTTAAGACTATCATTATTTTAAATCTTAGAAAATTAATCTGAGATGAACTAGGTTTTCCAGTGTGCAGTTAGATGGCAGTAAACTCTGTGTTGCTGTTTCCAAAAAGGATGTATGTATTACTCTGTGCCTCTCTGTATTTGAGAAACCCACACGTGAAGATGGCCCACAATGATTGTATATTGCTAAAGAGTGAAGAAAATTGGGAAATTTTCTAATATTTGTACTTAGCTTTTCTGAAGTAACTTCTGTATTCTTTTTTTAAATTAAAGTATCATTGATATACAATCTAATATTGGTTTCAAGTATAAACACAATGGTTCAACAGTTACCCACATTATTAAATCCTCACCCCCCCACACAGTGCAGTTACTATCTGTCAACATAGGAAGAATCATTAGCTATATTCTCCATGCTGTACTACCATCCCCATGACCAACTTATATTATGATTGAGAATGTTTGTGGCCTTTTATCCCCATCACACTCCCTACGCACTTACCCCAGCCCCTCCTCCATGATAACCACAGTCACTTCTCAGTGTCTAAGAGTCTACTGCTATTTTGTTTATTTTGTTTTGCCTTGTTTTTAGATTCCACAGATAAGGGAAATCATTTGTGGTATTTGTCTTTCTCTACCTGGCTCATTTCACTGAGCATAATACCCTCTAGCCCCATCCATTTTGTTGTAAAAGGCAGGGTTTCTTTCTTTTTTATGGCTGAGTAATATTCCATTGTGTATATGTACCACCTCTTTATCCATTCACCTACGGATGGACACAGATAGTTTCCATTTCTTGGCTATTGTAAATAATGCAGCAATAAACATAGGGGTGCATATGTCTTTCAGAAATGATTTCATTTTCTTAAGGCAATTCCCAGAAGTAGAAATACTAGGTCATATGGCATTTCTATTACTAGTTTTTTTGAGGAATCTCCATAATCCTTTCCATAGTGGCTGAACCAGTTTACATTCCCACCAGCAGTGTAGGAGGGCTCCCTTTTCTCCACTTCCTCACCAACACTTGTTATTTCTAGTCTTTTGCATGGTGGCCATTCTGACTGGTGTGAGGTGATGCCTCACTGTGGCTTTGATTTGCATTTCCCTGATGACCAGCGATGTTGAGCACCTTCTCAAGTACCTGTTGGGCATTTGTGTGCCTTCTTTGAAGAAATGTCTGTTCAATTCCTTTGCCCATCTTTGTATCAGAATTTTATTTTGGTTATCAAGTTGTATGAGTTGTATATCAAGTTGTATTTCTTGATATATTTGGATATTAGTTTGAGGGTACTATTAACTCTTTTTTAAATCTTTGGTGGAATTCATCTGCAAAGCTATCTGCTCCAGGACTTTGTCGGGAGTTTTTTGGTCACTGATTCAGTTTCGTTAGTACTGATGAGCCGGTACAGAGTCTCTGTTTCTTCCTGGTTCACTCCTTACAGATTGTGTCATTCTAGGAATTCATCCATTTCTTTGGGGTTGCTCAATTTGTCGGCATGTAATTGTTCATTGTAGTCTCCTTTAATCATGTGTATTTCCGTAGTGGTGGTTGTATCTTTCAGTTCTGATTTTATTTATCGGAGTCGTCTCTTTTTATTCTTGACCCCAAGGCAGCAGCACGAGCCTGGCTTCAGTGGCTCCCCCTTTCCCACAGGAGGAGGGGCTCTTGCTGAGGACATGAGGATTGTCACAATGAGCCAGAAAGCCACGGTCCTATTGTTTTATGGTATCTAGGGCATTTTGTCACCACAAATTTCTTACCACAGATGCCTTGAGAAACTGTGGTTGAATTTATATATTATTTTCATAATATCAGGACTGGAAGATCTTTGTTTTTTGGAAGAAAGTTTTTTGAGGGGAGAACATTTCAAGCCAACTGTTTCAGAATATGGGTGATGAGTCCTTGTGAAACAGCTTCAAGTTAGGTTGAAATGTGGCTGCATAGCAAGGAAACTGGGTCGTCTTTGTGGCTTGGGTAGTGCTCTGAAGGGGCCGCAGAGGGCAGAGGGCTGAGGCGAGAGGCCTGGGAGGGATTGATCTCAGGATCCACTACAAAATTAATGAAGTACTGAAATAAGGCAGGGAAGTGGGGAATGCAGGAGAATGGACTAAAATGATGGCAAAGTGGTAGGAAATAGTATTGCTGATTGGGCAGTAAGGAAAATTTAGAAAGTAAAATGATGCCATGTTCTGCCTTGGGCAAATGAGTGGATGGTGATGCCATTGTTGAGAAAGAGAAGTGGGGGTGAGGGGTAAGTTTTGGGGGAGAAAGTGAACTTGGCTTTGCATGTTTTCAGTTATAGATTCCTGAACAGAAAGTAGGTGCAAGAATGAACTATGTAGTTAGGTGCATGTATTTATTTATTTATAGCTAACAAAAAAATTCTACCGGAGATAAAGAATTAGAATTGGAGTTATATATATTTTTATTTCTAAGAATAGATTTTAATGCTATATACATATATGGGGAGAGAGATAGAGAAATAGTTTAAGAGTGATGTTTGGAATACCTGATTTTCTTTTTTTTTAAGGTGACTCTACTTTTTGTTTTTATTTTTTTATTGAAGTATAGTTTATATACAATCTTATGTTGGTTTCAAGTATACAACACAGTGGTTTAACAGTTTACCCATATTATTAAATCCTCAGCCCAGCTAGTGCAGTTACTATATGTCCACATATGAAGATGTTACAGAATCATTGGCTATATTATCCATGCTGTGCTACCACCCCCATGACCTGCTCATATTATGATTGAGAAGTTTTGTGCCCCTTTATCCCCTTCAGCCTCTGTACCCCCACCTCACCCCCTCCCCATGGGAGCCACCAGTCACTTTGTGTCTCTGGGTCTACTGCTATTTTGTTCATTTTGTTTTGTTTCTCTCTTAGATTCCACAAATAAGTGAAATCATACAGTATTTGTCTTTCTCCTCCTGGCTTATTTTACTGAGCCTGGTACCCTCTAAATCCATCCATGTTGTCACAAATGGCAGGATTTCTTTTTTTTTATGTCTGAGTAATATTACATTGTGTATATGTACCACCTCTTCTTTACCCATTCATCTATTGACTGACACTTAGGTTGCTTCCATAACTTGGCTATTGTAAATAATGCAGAACACCTAATACCACAAATAAGTGAAATCATACAGTATTTGTCTTTCTCCTCCTGGCTTATTTTACTGAGCCTGGTACCCTCTAAATCCATCCATGTTGTCACAAATGGCAGGATTTCTTTTTTTTTATGTCTGAGTAATATTACATTGTGTATATGTACCATCTCTTCTTTACCCATTCATCTATTGACTGACACTTAGGTTGCTTCCATAACTTGGCTATTGTAAATAATGCAGAACACCTAATTTTCTAAGTGTCTTTCATTTTAAAAATGATGTTATATATTTAAGCAGTGGTTTGTTGGTAACAACATTATATTATTTTCACAAAGCTTTCTATTGATGTATAGCATATACAGAGCAAATTTCAGTGCATTTGCACAAAGTAGTGAACCCATGTAACCAGAACTTACATCCAGGAACAGAACATTATCATCTCTCCAGAAGACCCCACCTGCCCCCTTCCAGACGTGACGTCTCTGTCAGGCGTGACCGCCATCGAAGATGACCGTGGTATGTTTTGAATTTTTAATGAACAGAATCACACTGTATGTTCCCTCCGTTGTTTGTTCCCCAACCGGATGTTTTTGAGTTGTCCAAGTTGCTGCATGGAGTTGTGTCTGTTCCTTCTCATGGTTGTGTGATATTCCATGTTCTGAGTATATGCAGGTTATCCTTTATGCAACCGATAGACATTTGGGTGTAGAAATATTATTTTTAGGGAGGTAGGTGAAGTGGAAATTATCATACTAATATTTTTCAGTGAAAGATGGTAAATGATGGGCTCTGAAAATCTTCAGAAACACCAGCAGAGGGGACTGGACTTCTACAAGGACAGAGGGTGGTGGGTCAACCTGGTCGTTAAAGAATCGCCGAAACCACTGAGGTCATGACAGTTTGCATTTCCAAAATCAGTGCCAAAGGGGGACTTAAGAAAAGTTCATCAGTAGATTTTCTCTGTTGCTAAGGAATAAATGAACAAACCACAAATAATAACATGTGAGGAGACTTGTTTTCTTATCATTTGTGGCTCAGTATTTTCCGTGACTGGCCATTTGCTCAGTCTGGTGATGGAGGTCAGGAGGCCTAAAACAATGATGGCTTGGATTCAGAATCTAACGTTGGGTATCTCTTTCCTGATGTATCATTAAAGGCCTGCAGGGATCACCTGAGGGCTTCAGTTTCACTACACTGCGTTTTGTTGGGTATCTTATCAATTATAACGGTAATTTTGGGTTGGGAAATTGCAAAGGACCTGAATGTCCCTCACACGTGCAGAGATGTGAAGGGCCAAACAGATATTGGAAAAAATCCCCCAAATGAACAATGTTCCCTCCCCCCCTCCAAAAAAAACCCTAGAAAGGATCCTCCCATCTTATCAATCATGTCTTCTACAGGTACCCACTATTATATTTACTGACAGAGGCCATGTGTTAATGCAGGCTCCCGGAAGTGTTGAACCGTTCCTTTCCAGGGCAGGGCGTAGTGGAGCCCCAGCCCCAGCTTACCATCTGGGGGCCTGGGAGGAAAGTGGGACGGCCCAGTGCGCATGTCCCACTGCCTTAGGGGCGATCCTAGTCCCCTCTTACGCTTTTAAGCCCAGCGTTCCTGATGACATGCATCTTTCTTCCCTCTTGGCTTGATGTCTGAAGGATTTGGCCTGCCCGCTCCTTCAGCATTAGAGCTGGGGCTTTGCCTGAGAGTATTTTTATTGGAATATAGTTGACATACAATAGTGTATTGGTTTCAGGAGGACAACTTAATGATTTATCAATTATATGTGTTACTAAATGCTCCCCATGAGGAGTGTAGTTACCATGTTATGCATAATGTGGTAATATACAATATTATGAGCTATATTCTCTGTGCTGTACTTCTATCCCTGTGACTAAATTATAATTATTAAAAAGTAATTATAGTATTATAATTATATGTTATAAATTATTTTATAATTTATCCTATTTGTTTTTTTCATTATTATTTTTTATTGAAGTAGAGTTGACATACAATATTATATTGCTTTCAAGTCTATAGCATAGTGATTTGACAGTCATACACATTATTTGATCTGTCAACATAGGAGGATGTTACAGAACCATTGACTATATTCTCTATGCTGTACTTTCATCCCAACGACTATATTATGATTGAGATCTGGTGCCTCTTTATCCCCTTGCACTCTCCCCGACCCACCCCAGCCCCTCCCCCTTGGTAACCACCAGTCCCTTCTTGGTATCTATGGGTCTACTACTATTTTGTTCATTCTGTTTTGTTTTTAGATTCCAGATGTAAGTGAAATCATACGGTATTTGTCTTTATCTGCCTGGCTTACTTGGCTTATCATAATACCTTCTAGGTGTATTCATGTTCTCGCAAATGGCAAGATTTCTTTCTTTTTTACAACTGAATAATATTTCATTTTATAGGAACCACATCTTTAGCCATCTACTAATGGACAGTTTGGTTGCTTCCATATTTTGGCTATTGTAAATAATGTGACAGTAAACATGGAAGGGGGGAATATATCTTTTCAAATCAGAAATTTTGTTTTCTTTGGGTAAACTCCTGGAGTGGAATTACTGGGTCAAATGGCATTTCTATTTTTAGATTTTGAGGAACCTCCATACTGCTTTCCACAGTGGCTGCACCAACTGACATTCCCACCAACAGTTCAGGGGGTTCCTTCTTCCCCACTTCCTCAGCAACACTTGTTATCTCTTGTCTTTTGGATGGTGGCCGTTCTAACTGGCGTGAGGTGGTATCTCATATGGTTTGATCTGCATTTCCTGATGATTAGTGATGTGCAGCATCTTTTCATGTGCTGTTGGCCATCTGTATGTCTTCTTTGGAAAAATGTTTATTCAGGTCCTCTGCCTATTTTATAATCAGGTTATTTGTTTTTTTTTGGTGTTGAGTTTCTATGAGTTCTTTATGTATTTTGTATATTAACCCCTTATCAGATACATCATTTGCAAATGTATTCTCCCATATTAAGGTGTGTTGTTTTTTGTTGAGAATTTCTTTTGCTATGCAGAAGCTTTTTAGTTTAATGTAGTCCCACTTGTTTATTTTTGCTTTTGTGTCTCTTGCCTGGGGAGACATACCGAGAAAAGACCTTCTAATGTTGATGTTTAAGAGTTTATTGCCTATATTTTCTTCTAGGAGTTTTATGGTTTCAGGTCTGATATGGAGGTCTTTTGCCTGAGAATTCAGTAGTCTGTCTAGTTCAGTTCTTTCCTAACCCACGCAAAATCCAGCATCCTGCTGACAGTGGCAGACAGCCTGGGTTCCGAGGCCACCATCTGCCTGATTAAGCTGTCGGAGGGCTGGGAATAGAGTTAGGTCAGCGAGCCACTTGCCTCAGATGCAAAATTTAGGGAGGTGTCTAAGAAGTCAGGTATCAAGGTAAATAGTATTGTAATGCAATATTTGAATAATCAAAATTATAGAACACAGAGCAGGCGTGATCAGGGAAGGCTTTTTAGAAAAGGTTTCATTTCTCAGGGACTCTGGGGACGTGGTTAAATTTGGACAAACACAGCTAAGGGCATCAGATATTTCTGTGTAGAAAAGGCACAACTATGGGAAAACTTGAGGTGTTTTTAGAAGTGATGAGAATCTCGGATTGGCTGGAGAGATAGGCTTGGAAAAGGAGGGGAATGATACTTGAATGGCTTTAGTTTTTGGAATTCCACGTGCACATATTTGAAGCCAGTGTTACCTCCTGGAGGGCATGTCTTCGTCCTCGTAGGCTGCTAAACAAAGTACAGTAGACTGGGTGGCCTATGAGAAACAGAGGCGTACTTCTCCCGGTTCTGGAGACAGGAATCCCCAAGTCAGCTCCTGGTGAGGAATCGTCAGGGCTGCGACTGCTGACCTGCCACTGCGCCCTTGCGTGGAGGAAAGGGTTGTGAGCTAACTCTCTGGCGGCTTTTAGGCCCACCCTAAGGACCCAATTGCATCCCGCAAGCCCCTCCTCCAAGTTTTTCTTTCTCATTGTTTTTGTGCATATGTGAACTTACCTTTTACAATTTTGCTGTTTCACTGCCTTCCTTGATCTTGCATATTCTGTTTTGAAGTCGTACTTTATGGACATTTGTTTTACTGCTTTATATCCATGGTTTATATTTGGTTATATTCCTCATCTACTGTGTGACAATATTAATGTGGATATTCTTCATCTGTCATTTCTTTTTAATGCTCTTTTCCTCTATTTTTCTATTAATATTCCTACCAATTTTGTGCCGGCTCTTACTTAGTTGTTACATATCTTTAGATGGATTGAATTTCCCCCAGATCAGGAAGTTCTTCTTACGCTGCTTATAAGATGGGCTGTAGTGTATATGCCTCCTGTTAACCTTTATTTCACATCAGCCCACAAAGCCGAGTAACTTCAGAGAAGCGCGTGTTAAGTGTGGTTCTCCCCCTGCCTCCTCATGACACTGCTTTGCGTGAAAGTGAGGGATTCTTGAGTCCTGTTCTCCTCTGATGCCACTTCTGAACCATAAATTTTGAACTACTGATTTTTCAACTTGGTCTGAGATTTGCAGACACAGAAGTCCTTTCTTGAGAGCTTCCCACATTCCAATTTACCTGTTGCTGGACTTGGCAGTCCTTTATCATATTGTAGTTGGAGATGGAGTTTGCATTTCTGTTTCCTGTTCTCTTTTGAACTTGTAGTGTCAACAGGTCTGTCTTTATGCTGATGTTTTAATAGTAAAGATCTGGTGGAATTTAGAAACCAAGAACTTTACAAAGACAACCAAAGTTTGTATAGTACTGAGTCTCTGAAATGAGTACTAAACATTAACTTAAGCTCATTTTGACATGCATTAATTTAAAAAACACATAGTTCAGTTGTGATACCATCTTTCAGACACCTTAGATATGACCTGAGAGATGGTCTGCTCCAGCGTGCTGTCTCCGTCTTGTGACCTTCTGGCCATTCTGGGGTGCTCCCTAGTCGTTTGCTCCATGATGCTCGCGCTGAGTTTGTGTCATTTCTCATTTTAGGTTTCTTGCTATTTGCAGTCAGCTCTCAGACTCTGATTCTGTCAGTGATTAAATTCATGCTAAAAGAGGTTTTGCTCTTGTTGATGTGGTTGAGAGTTTTAGGCAGCTAAATTCCCTGTTGATGTAGAAAGAGATTTGATGACTCGCTTGGCCCTGCGGTTTTTTTCTGGAGCCCAAGTTCCCTTTGTCTTGCTCTTCCTTGTCTCACTAGTGGCTGCATTTTCTGTCCTACCATGATTTGCACTGTCCGCTGCAGGGGCTGCATCAATGGAAATTGTCTGAACCCCTCCTGGTGGAAGTGGTCACTTCCTGTTTGGTGTGTACATTCAGTATTTGATTCCCCAGCTTGCACCAAGAAGACAGATGTCTGCTGTCATTGACCTCTTTGTATATCTAACAATATTAGCTCAGGGAAGAATGGAGGAGATATGACTGTTTATTTCCTGCTCAATACTGTATAGATTATATTGCCTTTTCCAAGTATTGGTTGCATTTTAGCA